ACCCAAACCATTCTGTGATTCACGAAGCCTCCTGTCTCGTCACAGCTGGGTTGTCCAAGCCGGCTGCACCCGCCCAGGGTTACGTGTAGACACAGACAACTGTTTTTTCTACTCAGGTGCCAAACTGCTGTTGCACGGTCTCTGCTCCAACACCACAGTCAAGTCTTTGGATTTGAAAGTGAGTCTGCAAATAAAAGGCCAAGAAGTGGGGAAGAAAACAGGAGCACAGGTTTTACCGGCGTTAGAGCAGCCCTGAACCAGGGCTGTCCATGAATGTGCTTCTGTAAAGCCTTGGCAGCCCCTGCCTCCTCCCTAACTCCCTGTCCCAGCCTTCCCGGTCGCTCTGAAGCTCTGTGTCCGTTTTTGCTCGGTTGCTCTGCTTGAGGAAGTTGCTGCCGTGTGTCATCCGCCAGATGAGGCCTACGTGGGCGGCGGGTTTCCGTGTCGATCAGCGAGGTAGTTAGTAGCCGCTTGACTTGCGCCTCTGCAGGTTTTATCCAGCTCGCAGTGTCCTTCTCTTAGCTCGGGGCTTGGGATGAAGCAGGCGCTTCCGGGTGTAGTGACTGCTTTGCTGAGCGACTTTCTGTCCCTGTTCCTCTGGCCGCGTAGCTCTCCCTTGAACGGACAGTCCTGACCTGCACCACACCTTCCGTTCCCATCCATGCCGGCGCCAGCCGAGCCCTTCGGATGGAAGTGTGAAGCGGGTTTGTTACCCAGAAGGGTTTGTTTTCCGCCCCGTCGTGGGCCGTACTGCCCTGTGGGTTTTGTGAGCTCACGGCCCTGGTGCCCCCGAGACGAATGGGACGTGTATCCGCCCTCCTGGCGCCTTCCGGGAAGCTGGCCAGTAGGTGACACGGGTGTTACTTGGCCACCTCTGGCAGTCTGGGGGGCGGTTCCAGCTGAGGGGCACCCAGAGGTGTTTGATGGGAAGGCTGGGCTGGGACGGGGCAGAGCCTGCTCGTCACCTGGGACTTCTCTTGCAGGGCAACAACCTGCGAACCGCGGGAGCTGAGGCTTTGGGAACGCTTCTTAGGCAGAACAAATCCATCAGGAGGTGAGAAGTTGTCCTTGCCTCTCTCCTCTTCCTCCTCCTCCTGTCAGATGGAGCGCGGCCTTGGAAAAGAGTGGAGGGTGTTCTGCTGGGGAAGGAGGAGTGTTGTTTGGGGCAGGGGTAGGTCTGAGGACTGGAGGGGCCCTTTCTGCGGCTGCAGGGCCATAGCAGCTTCCTGCTCCCTGAAGAGGGGTCGCTGTTGGGAGAGCTGGGTGTTGGAATGGGTGCCGTGATCCAGGGAACACTCAGGTTCTCGCAACTGCCCGTTTGCTCCCTGAGCTCCAATCCTGTCTGATTTTCCCTAGCCTGATCCTAGAATGGAACAGCCTTGGCGTGTGGGAGGAAGGCTTCTCCTTCTTCTGCCAAGGACTGGGAGCAAACGGCTTTCTCCAGCGGCTAGATCTGCGCAACAACCAGGTCAGCCATCGCGGGGCCAGTTCGAACGGAACGCCAGCCTGCAGGAGCTGGGTAAGAGCGGACGGTTCCTTGCCCAAGCACACGCATCCTCCGGTTCGCCGCGGCCTGCCCCGACCTCGGCCGATGCCAGCGTCAGTCAGGAGTGCTTTGTGCAGGGAGCAGAGGTCATGGCCCCGTGGCCTTTGGGCAGCGGGAATTGGGACTGGAAGCTCTGGAGCCGAACCTGCAGGTGCAGACTGTGCCTGGAGCAGAACGGGGGCTGGTGGAGGGAACAGGACCGCTCCCGTTTGTGGGTGCTGTGGCCGTGCCTCACACCGGGCCCGGAGACATGTCACACTTGCTTTGGCCTTAGTGAGGAGTTTTGCCAGAACACGAAAACGTGGTTCTTGGAGCTGGTTGTGCTCCCCCACAGACTGTGGGTCTGAAAGAGGCTCCCGAGATGAATGGGGAGGGCAGGCCTGGGTATTCGCCGAACCCCGGTGCCTTCCTGCGCTTAAGGGCCATCCCCACCTTTCCTGCTTTGTCGTTCTCCCTCCCTCTCATTCATCTTGAAAATAGTCTGTGACGGCATTACCCCGCGTCCCTGCCGGCCTGTCTGGGCTCCATCGGCCGGGCCAGGAGCGTGGGGCCTCTCGAGCCCTGTGTTTCCCAGCAGTGAAAGTTTGCTTTCTCCCTAGATCTGCGTTGGAACAACGTCGGGCTCCTGGGTGGCCGAGCGCTGCTGAGCTGCCTGCGCAGCAACAGGAGCCTGAAGAGGCTGGAGCTGGCGGGCAACAACATTCCTAGCGACATCCTGAAGGCAGTGGGTGAGTACTGCTCGCTGCACGGGAAAGCGTGGGTGACTCCTCTCCCAGCTCAGCTCTGGGGGCGTTAGGGCACTTGCTCCAGGAGAGAGCTGTCCGTGTCCCCCCTCCGCTCTCGGCAGCGTTCATGCCGCACCCTGCGTTGCTCCCCCTTGGCCTTTAGCGAGGGCTGGAGGGAATTTGGGGTGAATTGGGGGTCATTACGCACTGGGAATGTGGGAGAACGTGGGGCTCTGGTTGCCTCTGTGTAGCCAGCTTTGGATATGGCTAATGTGGCACATCCCTCGTCCTGCCCGCGGTGAAGCTGACGGGCTGCCCTCGCCTGGGGCGTTCCCTGGGTCCACTTGGATTGTGCCGCGCTGGGGCCCAGCATGAGAAGGGATAATGCCCTGGTGCTTCTGATAGCCGGGTGCCACCCCCGGAGCTCCCTTCCAGCAGTGCTTGCTGTTCCATGGCTTTACGAACACGCGCTCTCCTGCTCTCTCCGCACCAGAGCAAGCCGTGGAGCACAACCGGGACCGTCAGGCTGTCCTGAGCGAGGCCCAGAACCGGGCGCACGTCCTCTGCAGGGAGCTCCAGAGTCTGAAGGATGAGAAGGCCAAGCAGGTCAGTGGTCTTGGGGCAGCTAGAACCTGCTGCTTTCCCTGGGTGTCCCCGTGAGACACGCCGCGGCAGGATCGTTGTGTGCACGTCTTTGTGGGCGGGCGGGCAGCGCACGGTTCCTCTGACTCCTGGGCAGCCGAGCTCAGATCCGTGGCAGTGCCGACACGTGTCCTGCTGGACACAGTCGCTCTGGATTCCAGAGGAGCTTTGCTGGTCTTTTTCACCCATGTTCGAGCTTCTGCTGCTGGTTTGGTATTTTCCAAGTGGTACAGACCTAGAAACGCGTGTCTGTGCTCGCCTGACACCTCGTGGTGCAGAGTCTCTCGGGCAGATGTGCTGACGGACCCCTCGCACCTCCCGTTTGCTCCCAGTAGAGCGGCTGGAGTTGCCTTCAGCCGGCACCGGGAAGGGAAGGATGAGGAATGTAGGTGCTGCGAGGTGGTGCGGTTGTTTCCTCACTGACACTTGTCTTGTTCACAGTCCCTGGATTTGATGGACACCATAGACAGGCAGAGAGAGGAAATGGCCAGGAGTGGCAGGTGAGTTGAATTGCTGAGCTCTTTCTGCTCTTGGAGAGCAGTCGGGCCCACTCCATGTGTTTTTCCTTCCCTTCTCCCCGAATGCAGGATGTCTGCAGCACGGGTCAGCCAGCTGCAGGAGGCGTTGGATGAGCAGCACTCGATTATGAATTCCCTGAAAGCCAAGTATGGAGCAGGAGAACGTTGGCCTTCGCGCTGAGCCGAGCGGAGCTGGGGGTAGTCTCGGGGAGTGGCTGGCGTAGTAACGTCCACAAATGCGGGGCAGGTCGGGCCCTGGCTTCGCCACGCGAGGCATTTAGCCCGCTGCCAAATCACAGCGCATCGCTGTACGAGCGGCAAAGGGTGACGAGGAAATCAAAGGGTGGTGGGGATGGGATGAGGGCGTGGGCCTTGCGCAGTTTCCAGCCTGGCGAGGGTCAGCCTGCTTCCCGTGGTGGTTGGCAGCACCTGCTGGGTGCCGTTCGGGGTGTGGAGGAACCTGGCCAGTGTTAGGAGCTGGGGGGAGCTGTCCCGGGGAGAGTTGGGCTGTGTAGAGCCGCGTGTGCGACAGTTGTTAGGCCTCCAGCACTGATGAG